ATATACAGGTATAATAAAACAGCAAAATGGCAGCCAAGGGCTGAAATTGCTTGTACATGTTTCAATCTAAGCACTACTTCCAAATAAAGACAACCTCCATTTAAAGTCAGCCTAACAGATAATTTGAGATAGACCTGTATTATAATATAAAATTAAAAAGTACAAAATACAAATTGCTTTAGAACTACGTTCAGACTTAAAAATAAGCCAGGCTTACTTTAAGCCTGGCTCAAGGTTAAGTCCCCGGGTTTACTTTTACGGGCGTTCAGACTAGCTGGATTAGCCAGGCACGAGAATTTCCATATTAATGAACTGTAACCAGGAAACGAGTTTCGAAACATTGCACACGAAATGTACGCTTTCTCTCAGCACACGCAATTGAATGCTGATTGATCATTTTTCTACCGAAGGTCAACACGAGACCCTGTGCAGCGATCAAAGCCGGCTTAGAAAAGTTAAACTCGCAAGGACTAGTCACTCTAGGAACACAGACCAGCTTAAGATAAGTCACCTAGTTCAGACTGACAGGTTGATAAACCTGGTGAGTTGAGCTGGGTTTATCCACCTAGTCTGAACTAGGCTTAAGAAATTTAAAGACAAGCATTGAAGCAATAAATATGACTAATGCTAAACCTGTTTGTTTTAAAAAAAATATTTTTCTAAATTCTTATTAATTACCATTGTCTCCCAAATCAAAATCATCTTGAGAATAGCGTTCCTGTCCATATGCGATAAATACTTCATCATCTTTGAAGAAATCTTGCAAAGAGGTTACCTGAAACAAAAGAAAAATAATTTAGTCAACCATAGTTATGCATATTTATTACACATGGTAAAATTTGAATCACTTTGAATTTGTAATTTAAGAATAACTTGTCAATTTTAATGAAACACAGACTGAAACTATTCAGCTATTTATTTTTTTACTCACTTAGAGGCAGCAAATTTAAAGGTTTTGCAAAGAACATAGAATACTGTTTGATACAAGCATCTGATTTGAGAAGAAAAATTCATTTTCTTAAAATTTCTATTAACGATTAACACTTTGTTGTGTTTTGTTTATCTTATTTTGTAAATGTTTAGAGCAATTGTTCATTCCAATGTAATTTCTGAGAGGACAAAACCGTGGGAAGGGGGTTATAAATTAAACTTTTATGATAAAATACTACTACAGTATTGGTCAAAAAGATAACAATCTAACCCGACTCGGCAAGCCCCCCACCCCCCAGGATGCTCCTGGGACACATAAATTTTGAATTTAACGCAAGGAGGGGGTTTGTTATTTTTATTTCATTTTTATTTATTTATTTTAGATGTTTACTTAAAGACCAAAACTGAAAACACCGGTCCAAAAAGTGGTCTTTAATTATAGGGAGACCTAGCAGCAGGTACAAAGGTTAATAATTAAACAATTACGAATTATGAATATTCATGATACAGGTCTACCTCTAATTAAAGACCTGTTCAATTAAAGAGCACCTCAACTTAATAAAGATCAGCTTTTCTGTGCTCCCAAAGTATCATTCAAACAAGTCTTTTATCTTCATTAAATTCTAATTAGAGACCAAAGCTGCAAAAAACCATTGCAAACCGTACCCCAGCCCCAGAAGTAGTCTTTAATTGTAATTACCTATACCACTGTACAGTAGAAGTATGTATTAACCCTCATTTCTGTAATAAACAGTATGTTTTTAGAGCACTTATTGTTATTCAATGTTTTTGCATTACAAAACAAAGGAGTATCTCACATAGCTAATACATAATTAGTCTTCACACACCAGTCTTCAATTCTCACCAATATGTTCCAATGAATTTGGCAGGTGATACTGTACATCATTTTCAATTGCACTGTGGTAGAAATCTTTACAATCGTCTCAATTAACAAACCCGCAATCATTTTAATTAGCCTAGTTTAATAATTTGCTACAGTGATGGAAGCATCCGCCATATAAATTATCATACATCGCAGGATGAAAGTTAATAAGGTTTAGCCTGCCCATATCATCGGATTACCGTAGAGTTAATGATGTCTCACTTAAAACCATCCATATTTCCCTGGAGTATTTCCTCACACACCTTAAACTTATTATAGAGTACTTGCAAAATTTAGGTGTACAGAATTTCAATATGAAAATCCAATTATTTCTAAAAAATAATAAAAATTATATATATAAAAAAATTGATAGGTTTGCTTATTGCTAAAAATCTACAGTAGGCTAACAGTTTACATTTAAACAAATCATTCTGATGTTGATAACATTTGTAAAATATGATAATGCCAATCTAATTTGCTGCATATAGTACCTCACTCCACTTTACCGTTGCCTATCTCAAAACCATTGCAGCATGTCATTGTAGCTGTTTTCTGTGTTGTTGATTTAACTGAAAGTCTATTACAGTATATAACTAATACTTTCTGCATATTGTCACCTTCTCATATAAATTCACAATATTCATAATGCATTAGTGTTGTTGATTTAACTGACAGTCTATGACCTTACAGTATCTGCACATTGTCACCTTCTCATATAAATTCTCAATACTCAGAATGCATTATCTTTTGCTATACAGTACATTATTTGACAAACAAGGTGCATATACTTTCCTACTGAGGAGATTCAAGACTAAAAAATTATCATCTGTCTCATAAAAGTAACACAGACCCGAGGCATATGCTGGTTTCAACCTGGGGAAGGGGTTGCAAAAAATTAATAAATTGCAGTAATATATCTCAAAACGTGGAACTAAATTCCTATTCAAAGGAAAAATTAATTTTAATGCTCATAGTGTAACTAATTTGCTGCCATGGGTGGTACATGCTTATTTTACCTTGATCCCCTTCAAAACTTTTGTATAAAGTGCATGTAACTAGTGTATAATTACAAGAAACAGGTTAATATAAAGATGAGTTTTTCTAACATCATCATATTTCATGAGCCATGGAGGATAAGTACAGGCCTGCAGGGATTCACTCCCAACTAAAGACTTTTTTATGCCTTCTTAACAACACTCCGACAGCAAATAGGCTGATTTCGAGTTAAAATAAAATAACATTTTTGGCCAGTTAGCGCACCCTAAAAACAAGAAATTTAGAAAAAATTGTTCTTATTATGCCCTCTGCCCCACCATCCCACCCCCATCCTGAAATCTCCAAATATGAGATATACAGTCCTTCCTAGGGGTCATTCACAATTATCAACATTTTCGTAAGTGTACAAGCAGTACTCTTTTTCGGTCCCCCTCCCTCCCCTCTGAAAGTGTATAAACAAATGTTGGTTTTGCAAAACCATGCTACATATTTTTGTGAAGTCAATTTAAAGCAATGTACTTTGGTTGCTTAAAAAATGAATATTATATCTATGATTATAATATAATTTTACCATTATTTTACATTTTGCATGTTACTTTGAATCAACATATTTATGAATAGTGTACAAATCTGTCTACCCCCTACCCCCTAGCATACTGTTTGTACAACAGTGAAAAAGTTGATATGTTGAATGACCCCTTTAATTACATATTAATTTATTTGAATCCCATTATTACATACTGTAGGTATAGCCTGGTCGTTGCAGACATGCAGGCTTACTTCAGGGTTGAAATACTAAAGCCCCATTCATATCCAACTATGGCGAGATAATTTTAGTGGATGAGCTAGATGATCTCGCCATAAAGTTTGAGTATGACCGCTCAAGTATGGCGAGATGAAGGCCACAACTCGACTAAGCCCGTCGAGTAAATTTATGTCGATTAACTTCTTAATCCAGCCTAAAGCCAGTAAACAATTAAACAGCGGGTGGCCACAGGTCACGAATACACCAATCAAATTGAAGCAAAGTGACCTTCCATGCTCGCTGGTTAGCGCGTTTTTTAGTTACTGTCACAAACACCATTCAGAATTGACGCAGTCTCCCTGATCTGTGTACTTTAATTTCAACAAGTCTTTTTGCAAATGATGGCCGAAAAGTCAGTAAAGAAACGGCATCTCTGGACGTATGCGCAGGAATATTTAATAGGTATCTGGAGGGAGCCAGAAATCGCCGAAAAAAGTTGAAGATAAATTGTATCGTCAGAAGGCTGGTGTCCACGAAAGGATAGCAGAGAGAATGCGGGACTTAGGCCACAATAGCATAACATCGGCAATTGTTGTGACAAATTTGAAAAATCTACGAGCAGAACACAAGGCTGTGAGAGACGTTTTTATTCGTGGGACGGGCAAGGGGTCAGCCAATGTAATAAGGGATGACCCGAAATCAGCATGCCCACACTACCACGCACTAAACGAAATACTTGGGGGAAAAACCAGTGTAAACCCTCCAGCTGGACTCCTCGGCCAGTCTAATCAACCGCCGAGACCCTAGGCCTAGCTTACGCCTACAGTCTCGATCTAGCATAAACTAGTCGCGCGAAAATCAACAGTAATTGCCCACCATGCGATTGTACTATCTGTCTAATGATGTGTTTTCCGAATTTCTGGTAGTCAAAATATCTGGCTCTAAACCTTAAACGTCGAACGCGATTATTGGATTTAATCCAATTAACTGGCAAGTAGATCAGCTACTTCATCTGGCTATAATCCCATATGAACCTAGCTATAATCTGACCTTTAAGTTTTAATTGAAATACGGATTTAGTTCCAAATTCTCAATCTTCACATCCCGGACGTTTCACTTCTCCGAAACCAAAACCAGCATACGCCCTTTACTACACTGTTTACTATCAATAAAATTCTATTTTCATTTTCTTTTCTACCATATGCTTTTATGGCAAAATCATTTTGTAAAAAAGAAAAAACAAAATTTTAACCTTTTGATGATATTTAAAAAAAATTTGCCTTTATTAAGACAAAGAATTTATCAATAGGTTCAAATTTAAAATAGGTACCTGTTTTCCGTTCATGGTGTACAATTTACGAACAGCACCAGAATCCAACTTGATTGCGTCTGTAATATCAGTGAGGACTTGATCAAAAGAGTGTGCTGTTTTCTTGTTCAAGAGAATACGCGCCGCTTTACGGGGCTTTGAGCCGCTTTTTATTACCGTGACGAGTTTCGGTTTGATAAAGGCTCGGCTTTCTTCCTGTGAAGTTTCTGTAACCAAATTATGTGGCGAGGACGACCGACTGTCACGGCCGTCTTTATCGTGCCGTGGCGTGCCATGACTCCACGTTGCGTTAATATTCTTGGTATAGTCCAATTTCTTGAAAACCTCTTGGGAAGCACACACGTAACTTTCACCGGGAAGTAACTCATGGAGGGAGCGGATTCTACGTGATCCATCCGCAGTAAATATCTGCCTAACGCCCTGTGGAAGATGTGATTGATCAGCTAAGGTTCGTGTAAGATCAGCCATTAGGGCCTCAAAATTTCTAAATCTTTCGGGCGACACAGCATATGTTATCCCTTTGAAAAGTCGATCACCGTTTCGATAAAATCTCACTTTAATTGCTTTTTTTTCTGTGGTAAGTTTGCGAAGCGATGTTCGGATAAGCACTCCATGTGCACTGTGGGCAGGACTGGGAATCCCGTTGTATGCAGACCGTAACTTACGCCTGTCTGCATGAAAATGCTCTAGTTCAGATACCGTAAAATCTGCCATATTGCTCCTGTAAATAAAATAGAATTTTAATTACGATTAGTTACATGTTTCGCAAGCCTTTCCTGTGGCACCGTAACAAGAATCTCCATACTCCCAACAAATAATGCACTTGTCAATTGTCGTCCTCCAACCACACAACGCAGAGGACTGAGGTGGCGATGCGTGTGAGTGCGTTGCGTGTAAATTTGTGAACCGTGAATTTGACCTAGTTTGTGTCAAAGATACGCCAGTACATGAGCCAAGGAAAGGAAATCTGTTTCTACTACGTGTTTTACAATCATTTTCTTATTTAGGCCTAATTTCTGTTTTGATGTTGAAAAAATTAAATTCTATCAATCAGTTAAATCAATCAATACCAGTGCTACGTCACTGAAAGTGTTATCCCACAAAAGACAGAAAGAAATAAATAAAATAAATAAATCAATCAATCAATTATTTTCTTATTCTATGATTAATCTGTCAATACAATCTTTTTTTTTTTTTGCAACTTTCCAAACTTCCATGGAAATCTGCTTAGTGATATGCATGCATAGCGCTTCTATCAAGCAAGCTCACCTCCTTGGACTACTGTAGCTCCTGCCTAGCTCTCACATGCTTCTCCGATTCAGACCTAGGCTAGACATTCAAGTAGGTCTTATCATCCAATCATTTATTAGCAGGGTATTTTACCAGGACTGCACAGCAGTAAGTGGTGGGGACTCAGCTGGGAATGTACGTGAAAAGGATGCCCTGCATTACACGTAGGTGGCTGGGACTTTCACATGCATGTCACCCTTTTGGAAATTACATCCCCAGTACAATTGACAAGTGCATAAAAACCTCGCAGAAACTAACCTATCACACAAAAATGTTAAGATCTTGCACCACTTACAAATTGTGAATATAATTTTGTCTTCAATTACAGAAAAACTAACCCAACTACCAACACCCACTCCCTGCCCGCCTAGAGGAAATCCACTTATATAGTGGAAGCACCTTACCCGAACACCTACCTCCCTCCACCCACACATCCCTGGCTATACCGTAAGGCAATACAGAGTATGAACCATGGTCCATGACTTCTGCATTATCACACTATGCAGTGTGGTACATTTACCCCTTGCTCAGAAAATTTAGGCCTACCTGTACCTCTGAGAAAGGAGGTATTGACTATTGAGAGTGAGGTGTCTTTTTTGTGGATGAACTGTATATATACTGTCTCTACAAAAGCAACACTTATTTTTCGTCTACAGACAGGTATCGGTACTTGTCTCTCTGGGTCTCAGCCCTGCTTGATACATAAAAAAACTGCTGTGTAGGGATTTGTTTAAGACTACGTAACAGATACAGTACAACCGTGGCGTTACAGTAAAACTAAGTAAGTTCTACACCACAATATACGTGTTGAGCCCGGTGTTGAGTAATGCTTATGGTTGAGTCTGGTTGTGAGCTTAGGTTCCCCGTACTTTTCCTGAGCCAATATAAAGCAATAACAAAACAAAAAAAACTGGGATAAAACTGAACATGCATTTTATTGAGACGAAACCTTACCTGGAACTTGTGTACAGAGAAGCTAACTATTTTACTTCCAAAACCCGGCTTGTTTGCCTTGGAGATGAACAACAAAGGCAACAATACTGTATCTAATCGCAACTGACTTTTATGTCATTGATTGTACAGATAGGGATGGGTCGGTCGTCGGTCAATTGATACATTATATAGGGGGCGCTATATATATTTTTCTTATCCTCAGAAAAAGTCCAGCAATGTGAACAGTACTGTGGTGGTACTACCATGGAGGAAAAGTCTTCCCTTCATGGTACTAATTTTGATATTATTTTACAGGAATGTACCTGCATGCAATAATTTCTCTTCTACTCTTTAAAAAACAACTTTTCGAATAAATTAATAAGCCAGGAATAAAAGCAAATAGGGAAAACTGGAGATATTTGGATCTGGGCAGTGGACGTCAGAGCCCTTGATTCATCAGATCAAGAGGAAGTCATTCGTTTTAAGTAACGTGCAAGACGCCTTTAATGTATAATAATTAAGTCAGTCTTTCAGATTAATTTTTACAGTATTAAATCTAAAATGGAATTTTTAACTGAATTTTATATCAAAAGGATTTTAACATTTATACCTTAATAACCTATTATCTTTATACGAGTCAAAACAACAATTTTAACATCGTTTATCCACTCACATTCTTTATATCCCTTTTTACTGTGTATCTATATTGTGCATGTTTTTAAGTCAGGTTTGTGCATTTGTACATGTTTAAATCATGGATTTAACTACAGTTACATACTATTTATTTGCTGTAAACTTGTCTTGTACCTATGGAAAGCAAGGTAAATGTGAGGTAAAAGAATAACCCATAACTAGCAGCGTCATTGTTCCAGGGGTGGCGCCAGCGAGGGGGGGGGGGGAGATCCAGGGCCCCCATGTCTGAAGAAAGCTGGCCCCCACGTAGGGAATAAATGGGTTCTTTAAAGTGCACACGGCCAGATGTATACACTGGACCTCCAATTATCCGAGAATACTTGGTTCTACCAACCGAAGTGGTCGAGGAGCGGCTGGAACCTGCACCGATGTTATGTCTGTAGCAGCGGCGCCCCTCCCTTACCGCTCGGCGACTCGCTTTAGCAAATTTCAAAACCAATTTTTGGACCAATAAAAATTATTATATTATCTTTTATCTTATATCACATTAAGAGTTTTAATCTTTCATTGTTTTGCTTCCCTTTCCCCCATCAAGGAGAGCTGGTTTCTGGTCGATGGCCGACAACGTTGCAATAATCCTATTCGTTTCAACGCATTTTAAAAAAAAAAACAATATTCACTTACTTTAGAGCTTCTTACATGTACGAAGCTCTAATCCATAATCGACCGAAAATATGAAACAGGTCTCTAAATTTTGTTTTACAAAAGACAAATTTTAGGGAATGCGATTCCTGAATTCGAGAATTAGTCGTAATATAATATAAACTTGTACGTACCCACCGACCGACTCAAACTGGGTTTTCAAAAGTCGTGCTGTGGGAAGCAAAATCATTTTTTGGCCTAATCAATCATTAAAATAAATGTAAACACAGTAGGTTCTTTATCATAAAAACAATTCTGGAAATAATATAGTTGCGACGGTAAAGTTGCCTTGCCATCAATACTCTGCAAATAATTGCAATGATGTGTTTCGTATTATAGTCTTTATGAAGGTTAATGTGATAGATTCAAGATCGTTATTCTTTTACGTACAAAATGAAATTTCTATTGCAAAATAGTAAGTAAACAATCACATGATCAATATTGCATACTTTACTCCAAATAAGAAACCTCAATTAAAAAAAAATTCACAATACAAATTGTACTTTAATTGAACTGAAACCTGCAGAAAAAACGAGCAAAACTGAATACATAATATTACTATTTCGATTAAAATGACACCATATGGAAATATGTATATTGCGCTTGGTGAGCACTCGTCGATAACGAGGGGAGAGTCCATAAAAAAATGGTAAAATTATTATTATCATTATTTTTAAGCTACTTTTCCAAGTCCCATTTATTTGGTTGTCGTAGGCCTACGTAGCTTTTGAAACTATCAAATTTGGCAAGAGCATGAGATATGCCTAAATATGGTCGTGATGACCTCACATAATGACCATTATGGGCCTTGCTATATTAGTAGATAGTCCGGACCTTATTGAAAAACAATGTATTTCGTTTCAAGGTTTTTTGTTTGTTGTACATTGAATATGTTATCCTGAATGAATATTTTGCAAATAAAAAATAAAAATAAATATAGGCACATCATGACTTAGGATGGGCATAGGTCTCAACAGCAGACTTTTGTCAAAGAAAATTTGATTACCTGGACAAAGCTTTACTTTGTCACATAACCACTCCTGGTGGGTCGACCATGTGACAGCATCTCACAGGAAATAGCCGGTGAGGTCCGGATTCCGGGCGGGAATCTCCTGCTTCTCTCTAATTATTTTCCTATTTCAATATCCTTCCTTTCTACTTAATGGACTTTCCCGAGTGTCAATCAAAATTAACAACCGAAGAATCATACAAATTTGAATAAAAAGAAAATCCCCCTAAAAGTTTCCACGTCAATTTTAGTCCAGTTACTCTGGGTATTCTTTTCCACAAACGCACATGTGCGTATGCCTGGCTATGTTTATTTTACACTGTCGTTTTGAGAGGCCTATATCCTGGGACGGGGCTTAGCGGAAAATCCATACACTTACAACTTTCATTGTAGCCGTCACACGGTCTCTCGATGAAACGGTCGAGATTGACAGTGAAAGATACTATAAGTCTCATGGTATCTTTTTGATTGTGCAATCACCAATCACAGTGCTGCTATTATATTTTTTATATTTAAATATTAATATCAATTATAATATTATAAGCCCAGTACAGTAATAATAATAATTAATGGTTTTACGGGGACCATCTGAAAATATCAGAAATAGTGTAGATCAATCAGGGCTTCAGATCCTAAAAGAGTATTTCTATGACATCCTCCATCAGCTAACAATACACTTGGTGCTGAGAGAGAGAAACACCATTGATAAAGTTTAAAATCTGTTTAGGCCTACACAGGTTATGCGAGTATTTTAAATAAATATGATAAAAGTTTACTATAGGCCTACATAGAGGCTCCACAGTTTCACAGGGTTGTAATGCTTGGCAAGTAAATTTCAGTTGTAGTCTTTCTGTCGTGGTGTTCAGAGTTTTCAGATACATCCACCAGTGAATCAGGAGGCTGCGCCTGTGCCATAAAAGCTCTCCATGCGCCGTATTCGTCTTCAGTATCTTCATCAGAAACATCACTCTTGCTGACGTCATCATAATCAATAGAATCGTAGCTCACCGGCTGTCTATTTAGAGGTCGAAATTCGCTCGATTTTTCTGTAAATGTATGTTTATTGTTGAAACTCGACCTACCATGTCCGACACAGAAATTAACTTTGTCACGTGTGGGCCTTGGCGTATGCGGTAATGTTGGCCCGGCGAAGTGACCATGTCCCATATCATATCCAAAAATATGACAAGAGCTGCTTTTAGGAAGGAAAAATAACGGAGAGTCAGTTCTGATTTGGTACAGACTGGTTGTTTCAGGAAAATCAGAATCCTTGCTCAATTGCAGAACGTTGCCTGGCTTCCGTTGATTTGACGACGTTGTAGGTTTTTCTCCTAATGACGTTGAAACAGTCTGCATATCTGAAATAATAATCATGTACCTGATTAATTAAGAACACGTCGATGCATGTGTAATAACATTTACAAATCTAGCAATGGCCTGGCCAGTAAAACCATGTGGTGACAAGTGGCCGATCAGTGCTGGGTGGGTTTGATCATGCTTTCAATGGACCTTTCCGCTAAGCTCCGCCCTTGGATATTGTTTCTAAGGTCCAACAAGACAGCAGTGTTAAAACATACGCGGACACGTGCGTTTGTGGGACAACACGTGTGTTTGTAAGACGCGCGCGAATTCCTAGCGCTGTTCTGATTAGTCGGTTGTTAAGTTTGATTGACACTCCGGAAAGGTCTATTAGCCAGTAAAATGCCCTCCACCCGGTACCTGCCATCAAATAATATTTATTTCATGATTTCCATGTTGTCTGCGCGCAAGCGGTCGAATCCCATGGTGGTCCCACCAGGAAGTAGTTAGGCCTATTTTACATATGGCCCTACCAAGTTTTTGTACCTGGACTCTGACCAAGACACTCCGGCCCTCTGAGCTCACCCGGACATTGTAATATTCCCTGTTGGACAGCATTCTCCCCTGCCCCGTGAATAGGCTTATCTGTATAGAGCCACCGTTAGTTATTTGATGTTTATACCGATCACGTAGTAAGATTAACCGTACCTATAACTTGTAATCTAGATTGTCAGCACCAGGGAATTGCCAGGTGAACACCAGGTAATTGTCAAGTGAGTATGCCTACCCAGGAATTTCAAGGTCGTCACCTTCAGGGGCGGATTTAAGGGAAAGGGAAAAAAGAAAGAAAAATAATTGATCGCCCAAAACGCTTCAGAGATTATTTTTGGGCGTCTAGAAAAAAAAAAAAAAAAAAAAAAAAAAAATAGCGGGGGTATTGCCCGGACCCCCTAGGGTAAAGTCTCAATCGGCACCACTTTCGCCCGCCCCCCACCCCTTCGGACATTTCTGGATCCGCCACTGACGTTTAATTGCCAAGTGAGAACCTTGAGGTTGTACGGCGAGTACCCTAGATTGCCAAATGAGTAGGCCTATACATGGGATTGTAAGGTAAGCAACCTGGATTGCCAAGTTAGTACGGTACCCTGGGATTACCTTGTAATCCCAGGGTAAATGAGTACACTGGGATGGCAAGATGAATACTCTGGATTGTCAAATCTTGCATCCTTGGTTTGCAATGTCACCATCCTGATATTACAAGAACAGTTTATCCGGTGAGTACATAGATTGCTAAGTGCGTACCCTGGGATTGCAAGGTATACCCTGGATTACCAAATGAATACCCTGGGATTGCAAGGTGAGCACCCTGGAATTAACAAGTGAGTACCCTGGGATTGCAAGGTAAGTACCCTGGATTGCCAAATAAGTACATTGGGATAGCAAGATGAGTACTCTGGATTGTCAGTTGTTGCACCCTAGATTTACAAAGTGACCATTCCTTACAAGATGAGAACAGTACTTGTACGGTTGGTACCATATTGCCATGCGTACCCTGGGATTGCAAAGGTGAGTACCCTGGATTACCAAATGAGTATTATACGATTGCTAGGTGAGCTTCCTACAGTAGATTGCCATGTGTACCCTGGGGTTGCAAGGTGACTACCTGGTATTGCAAGGTGAGAACACGGAGAATTCTAAATGAGGAAAATCGATTATTCATAACTTGAAATGCCACACACAATACGACCACGGCCTCGCCATGGTCTCACGATCACTAGCTGTATTTTCATGCTTTTGAAACTTACGCGTTCTTTCTCTTGTGAAAATTCTTTTAAACCAACCGTAGATGAAACAAGGAAATAATGTGTGAAAGCCTTCTTGAGCTGCTTGTAATTTACAGGCTACGACAGTCAAAACAAACAAAGACAAAAACAAAATAATGAAAGTTCCAAAAACAGTTAAAGCTAATGCACTGGTTTCCGAGGATCCAGTGAAAGTGTTCGTTGCTGCTTTATTAAATTCAATTGATCTTGTTGGAAGGGTTAATAAAGCTATTCCTCGATGGTCATCAGACGTTGTCCGGATAGTTACACTTTGATCCGTTTGACCCTCATCTAACGGTTCAGTTGTGGTATACAATGCACCTAGTATCAACCAGATATCTCCTGGAGCAACCTTTCCAGACAAGACGTCTGGATGTTGGCACGACTTGGTTGTCATGTCGAACACAAATCCCAAATCTTCATGTTCGCAGCCTCCACATTGGGTATCAGCCCAACTGTCGCACAACTTTATAGTCCGCAATCCATCCATACATTTTCCACATTCACGGCAAATATACTTCCCCTTAGTCACCACCGTATTTCTATGTTTCCCTCTCTCGATTTTTTTCGCGTAGAAGCCCTTGCTACAAACGTTTTTAGGCCTAGGCCTACTTAGAAGGCCCAAGTCTCCATTTACCAAGTGTCGGAGATTCACACTGCATAATAAGAGCAGTAAGATACTGCTGCACAGGACCGAGGAAGCCATTTCAAGAACTAAACACAGACGAGTAACCTTGTGATAATATGTATTTTTAGTAACAGTAAGTTGAGTTGTTTGTTAACATGCTATTTATAGAATGGAAAATTCCAGAAAGGCAGCGAAATATTATTGCAGGCGCTCAGGAAGGATCAAAACAACACACATTGCTTTGTGTCGATTACAAAAAAACACGGTTTCGCTTTGCAAATCACGATACATTGGAAATCTATATTTAGTTTATGTCACCAAAATTAGAATTTAAAACCTTGGGATTTTGAATTGGCCTAGGGCGTCCTATTGATCAAATTTGTAAGAATGTGCAGGGTCTAGAATAGACTCACAAAGTATAAGAATTTAAAATGATAATATAGGTATAGTAGTATAGGGTCTTCTAGGCAGGTACTTTGTAGATTGCTGAGTATTCTAGTGTAATATAATTATATTTAGGCCTATACCATGATATGAATATTATAAAGAGGTCTAGTGAATTTGTGATTCAAGAGTGAATGCACTTGTTTGCATTTTCAGCTGTAGATCCCTTGTCTTCTAACATATATATACAAGATAAGAAATAGACTTCAATCCCCCGCCGGAAGCCAACCGTCCCGACCCCTCGCACTTTCCCAACGTCGGACGAAACCCGTTACGGATTAAAAAAGGATTCCATTGTGCAACAATGTCGAAATCGCTACAAGGGGAAATTCCCAAAATCTTTTCTATAGAGGGCGGTATTCAAAATTTATTTGCTACTGTGTATTTATTTACTGCATACCTTACCGTACATTGTTACACTATAATGCATGAAACTGTAATTAATATAGGGAAGGGAGTTGGGAGGGATGGGTATATGGGGGTATAATTGAATCAAATCTATCTTAGTTTAATACAAACTTATTATGTTGTTTTATTTTTGTTTTTTAAATAATATTAATTGTATTATCCATTTACAGTATTAGAATTATCTTACAATCGTCTCACTACAATGTACTGGCATACATTGTACTGGAATACATTTAATGTATATATAAGGGGTGTGGTAGGTGGGAGTAGATAGAATGAAATTGTTTGTTTTATTTTGGCCTGTGTGAGTCAAATTTGAAAAAAAAAGGGTTAGTTGATTGAGTATGGAGGGATATATTTGTGTATGTGTACACAAAGTATTTTTATATTATTGTATTGTTTTAATTTTTTTAAATTTTAAGTTCACTACTAAATTTCTCAGTTTCATTTTAGTTATTTTAAAGTTTGTGTCAATTATGTTTTATTAGTATTAATTGTACAGTAATTAAGTGATTCATTGTATTCTATTTATCAACGCACCGCCCTTTCAATGCCGCCGATCTAAAGGCCTACGTTCACAAACTAAATAAATAAATATATATATTTGAGGCAAGGTTGAAAGTAAAGCGCGAAAGTATGCAATCCTTAGAGAGAATGGAGGTGTATCCAGAGATCGCAATGTAAATTTTAATGTACACATCTTGCTCTTAATTAACTTACCGAAGAATAGTTTGAATTTCCAAAAAAAAAAAAAAAAAAAAAAAAAATTAAGAAAAACTTCATAAAAACCCACCAAATTCTAAACAATGTTTCCGGAATCAACCCTGACTAAACATTTGATGACCAATCAGAATAGGGCAACATAAATACGTAGTTACACTATGCAGGGATTCCTCCATGGTTACACGAATACATTATTAATTGTCTCAGTAAATAAAATAATCAAGAAAAGGAGCTTCGCGGAAAGGTCTATGAATACAAAATATATTTCATTTTAGCAATTTTACATCATTGAAGTCGTCAAACTATATTGCTCATAGTTTACATCTATTTTAGTAAAAAAATAATTACAAAATTATTTTTTTTTCATTTACTTCCATAAGTGCCCCTCAATTACTACATTTATAAGCACCCTGTTTGAATAAGTGCCTCTCAAAAATAAAATAAAAAAATTATTTGTTCGAGTACGGAAGGCTTTTTTATTTTCGTGTTGCAGATTGTTTTTGTAGGTAGCCTACTTATCCCACTAGCTTGTTTCTTTAAAGTGAAGAAAAATCGAATTGCCTTTGTATATAATATCATTTTCACCACTCTAAAAAAAAAAAAAGAAAAAAAACTATATATAAAACCATCTGTTTTAAAAATTTAATTTCAAAATGTAAAAGTTACAAAAGCTAAGAATTTACAGCGCATAAGTATATAAATAAAATTGCTGATAATGCGCCTTTCCGTAGTGAAATATTAAAGCCCCATTCCCGGCAAAATTTCAGTTGGTAAGAAAAATCTAATTTTTGAATAATGTTATAAAGATTTATAAATATAATACGGAATTGCTAGTTTAAATAAATTTTGACATCCCTAAGCATGAAAAAAAATGTAAAATAAGACTGAAATTTGATTTTTTTGTGTTCCATACAAAAAATAAATGCGGATGAATTTTTCATGTTTGATTTTGCGATAGGTCGTGCGAAGAATATAGTAGGCGCCAAAAACATTAGCCTATCCAACACTACTCCCTATTTAAAATTTTTAAGGGTGAATTTTATAAAGATTTCCAAGCTAAGTTTTCTGCTATGCAATCTGATCTTGTGACTACTATTAAGAGAGTAGAATTGCTCGAAGATAAGACTAAGTTTAACGAGTGCCCCGAGTTCGATCAAGCTGTTGATGACAAATTGCGGGAGTTTCGATTTGATTTACAGGAACGGGATTTTCGTAAGCCCAATGTAATTATACAAGGGCTGAAGGAATCTCCCACCCTTGATGACGAAGCATTAGTCAAGCAGATTGCAGTAGTTGGCCTAGGAGAGGTATCTATTAAAACTACATTTAAATCACATGATAACCATGTTGGTAATCGTCCTTCATTATTGAAAGTTGTTTTTAGTGATGGTGAATCAAAGATAAAACTTCTCTAAAGAGCTGCTAGGAGCACACTGGTCGCCTCAAATCAGTTTCCCAATATACTAATATTCCCAGATAGAACAAAGAATGAACGTATCGAACGAACCCAATTACAAGAAAAGCGGGATGCAAAAAAACGAAGTACTTCATCAAATGGGGAGTTTAAATCGCAAATGGGTGATAAGACGAGAGAGGCTTGTAGAAATAAATGTACAACAAGGTCAAAGGTCTCTAAGGGTGAGAACTCTAACTCCTTCAGCAGATTCTCCAAGAGTCGTAAATCCTCCGGCTATATCATTCCATCTATTTTGAAATGTCTCTATACAAATATTGATGGTATCAGAAACAAAGTTGATTTATTTCAAATTTGCGTTTCAAAAGAAGATCCTCATATAATTTTTGTTACTGAAACAAAACCAGAAGAAAGGGACATCGCTGATGTTTTTTTTTAATACAGAAATTTACGAAGTTTTTCGTAAAGATCGCCTTGTTCCAGAAGGTGGTGGCGGAGTTGCCGTTTTGGTAAAGAAGAAATTAATTTCTGAAGGATTTGTAGGTGTCGAGTGGGCTGAAAATGAATCTAAATCAGTATGTATTCTTCTCGGTAGTAAACGCCTACTTATTAGTTGTATGTATCGTCCACCTAACTCTCTTTCAGAATATAACAAAACGATCAGAGATACTATTAATAATGTTTGTGCCTCCCCACATGATCAAATTCTTATCTGTGGCGATTTTAATTTTAAGGAAATCCGGTGGGAAGAACAAATTGTTCATACTACATTAATCGCAGAACCTTACTTATTCTTTGGCACTGTTACTGATAACTTTTTGTACCAACATGTTCGTGAATGTACACGATTTAGAGGTAATGACCTTCCATCACTTCTAGACCTTATATTCACTAAAGAAGAAGATGAAGTTCAAATCTTCCCCCGTCGGAGCTAGTGATCACGCAGATATTTGTTTTGATTTTTTAACAGAAGGAATATCTAATTTAGAGGAACCATCCTTTATTTTTAGATATGATTTTAACAAAGGAGACTTTCATTCAATGGATAATTTCTTTTTGTCAAGATTGATATTCCCTATTTGAAGAAATGTCAATGGAGGAAATGTGGAGTAATTTTCTTTCTAAATTTAATGAGGCTAAATCTCGTTTTGTTCCACAAGTAAAAATCTTTACTTCCGACAAGCAAAGGAAGAAAAAGTGGGTAACAAGAAAGGTTTTAGCAAAAATTGAAGCAAAAAACCTGGCATGGAAGCGTTATTTGAAAAGGCGCACTCAACCTCGTTATAAGAAATATTGTACAGCTCGTAATGTGTCAGTTGCAGTTGTCCGTGCTGCTAAATTTCGTTTTGAAAGGGATATCGCCCTTAACGTTAAAAAAATCTTAAAGCCTTTTATTGATATGCTCATAGTCAGTGTACAGTCAAGTCAAGTGTTGCTCTAATTAAGAGGTTAGATGGTACGTTTTCTAGTTCAAATGAAGAAGCAAGTGAATTTCTCAATAAAACTTTCCAGTCAATGTTTACCCAAGAAGATCTTAATGATGTTCCTAAACCAGATTTTACTTTTGCTGGTCCTCCACTTGAGAATTTTTTTTTATACTGTTATAAAGATTTATAAATATAATACGGAATTGCTAGTTTAACGGAATTTAGACATTCCTAAGAATGATAAAAATGTAAGATAAGACTGAAATTTGATTTTTTTTGTGTTCCACACAAAAAATAAATGCGGATGAATTTTTCATGTTGATTTTGCGATAGGTCGTGAGAAGGAATATCGTAGGCGCCGAAAACATTAGCCTATCCAACGCTGCTAGGTTAGGCCTAGCCTTACCTCGATTTAGGTTCTGTTATCACACATAAAAACGGCCGACATGATATTTTCCGTTGCTAGTATTGATACTTGTGAATATAATATTTCATAGGAATTATTTCAAATTTGTTAAAAAACTGATTCTGACTGAGATTTTGACACTTACTTAAACATATCTCAGCCTAACCGAACGACCGCATTGTGCGAGATGCGAAGTACAAAATTAATCTCATTAGAGAGGGCGCACTTTATTGACTGTATAAAGTATACATAAAAGCGAGAGTATTCCAGTGGATGCGATCTACAACCTCTGAATTTGCCTAGTAACGATGAATTCGTCGAGAAAATGGTAATATTTTATGAGAAATAGTCTGTATTTCTCTTTTTTTTAACAATTCTTTTGCGTAAAACTAAAATTCATGCCAATATTTTTCCATGATTTATAATAATTGGAGTAATGCAAATGCATATTTTCTAAAAAAAGTCAGTTTTTAGTGAAATTTTGCCGGGAATGGGGCTTTAAGGTTAAGGGCTGTACGTCGTCTTGGGTCCCTGTTACTTCTGGCGTGCCCCAAGGGTCGGTACTTGGGCCAACTCTTTTCTTGATCTATGTTAACGACCTGCTTGACGACCTGGACAGTGGTGGGAAAATTTTCGCAGATGACGGTAAAGTATATCGGAGAATTCGGTCTCCAGGTGATTGTGATATATTACAGGAAGATATTGATAGACTTGTAGTGTGGAGTAACAAGTGGCAATTACAGTTTAACAAAGAAAAATGCAAGATTCTTCATTTAGGTCCTAGAAACTCCGAATATTTTTATTCAATGGGTGATACTGTTTTGTCTGGTGTTACGCAACAAAGAGATTTTGGAATAATTGTTACACCGGATCTTAAATTTACGACCCATATCTCTAAAGTAGTTGCTAAGGCAAACTCTATCGTTGGCCGTCGTAAGAGAACCTTTACATATATGGACAAGGACATGTTTATTCCGCTTTATAAAACTTTAGTTAGGCCACTAATGGAGTATGCAGTTCAGGCTTGGTGGCCAAACTATAAAATGGATATTTTGGCCTTAGAGAAGGTACAAAACAGGGTGACTAAATGGGTTCCAGAACTTCGACATCTTTCTGCTGCTTCAAGAAAGTTCTTTGGGGTTATGGCCATTAAAAGAACGAAGAGACCAAGGAGATATGATTGCCGCGGACGTAGCCAGGATTTTGAAAGGTTGGGGGGGGGGGGGAAGCCGTTATGCGAATTACGTATGACCCCGGCGGGGTCAAGGGGAGAATCCCCCCGTGAAGTAGCGCACTCAACGTTCTTAGGACTGTTTGAGAGGATAAAGTGAAAATTGCAATAGACGCATTATAAATCAACAGTGGCAGATCCAGGAATTCGAAAGAGGGGTGAACCAGGGAGGGACTTTCACAGACCGAGGAACCACCCACCTCAGCCCCACCATGGTTGGGGGCTGAGGTAAGAAAATGTATGATTAGGGCATCTCTAGATGGCCGGAAATTACACTCTCGCACTTCAATTTGAATATACTCTCGCACTTCAATTTGAATATATTTTTTTTTCCTTAAAAAAATTGAAGGGGGGGGGGGAGGCCTTGAATCCACCTCTGCTCAAAACATTCTTTATTAGGAATAGTCATAATCACGAAAAATGTACATGAAAAAACAGATCACATCCTAAAAACAAGCAGCAGTCACTAAGACACCAGGAGCCGACTCGATGGAGTTTAATGTCATACCCAGGGAAGGCCTCACAATGGTTGGATCTGAGGTGAGAACATTTGAGGAAATAGTACCTCTAGATGGCCAGAAATGACACTTTTAGTAAAATTCATCATCATCACATCACCATTAGTCAAAATGAAGCGCCAAAAAAAAAAATTCTCATGATCTTTTATCAGCGATTTTTGACAACCATAGAGATCTTATTAATGTGTGTGTGTATACCATAGAAAACAAAGCTTAAAAACATTGTCTTTCAGTATGTACTTTACATAGGCCTACTTCAAAAACGTGATTTCACAACCACCTCAGCCCCACCATGGCTAGGGCTTAGGTGAAAAAATTTGGGGAAATAGTACCTCTCGAGATGGCCGGAAATGACACTTTTATATAGTAAATTCATCATCATCACATTACTGTACCATTATAATCAAAATGAAACGCCAACAAATTTCTCATGATCTTTTGTCAGGGATCTACTTAATATCCAGGACACCTTAGGCCTAATTATAGCTTACTAAGCTTTAACTATATATACTACATTATGATCAACAAATCACAACTTTATTTAGCACAAATTTCTTCACTTTTTATTGTTATTAATATCAATTATTACTATCGTCATCATCATCATTGTTATTATTATTATTATTACTATTGGTAGTAGTATTATTAAACAAACATTTAAAGAAACTTGCAAAAGGATTAAAACGAAATTGAACCACAGTATCACATTTCTATCTTAAAAGACCTGGCTGAGACTTATGGATTTAAGATTTTTTAAAATCACGCTTAGGCCTATGTATAACGTGTACTGATGCATATTTACATGTTTAGAAGTATTCATTTTGAGTGATCCCAGGAAAGAATTTGTATTGGCTCAAGAATAAGCTTTAAAATTTTAACACTGTGTACAAAAAGGGGGGGGGGGGAGCCGCGGCTCCCACGGCTCCTCACCCCCTGGATACGTCCCTGTATGATTGAAGTTTTTAAGATTATTCATGGTTTTGAAAACATTGATTATAGTTTTTTTACACTTTCACATACTCTACAAAGATTACATAATACTCGTGGTCATACTTACAAGATTCTTAAACCAAGACACAACACTATATTTCGAGACTCCTTTTTGACACTAGAGTCATTAATAAATGGAACTGTCTACCCGAGCATGTTGTCAGTAGTATCTCATTAAATCAATTCAAAGCAAACTACGACCGACACATTCAAAACTTGAGAGGAGGCAATTTTTACGAGTACTAACTCCCTACCTCCTTACAATCACTAAGGTAAGAATTACTAAGGTACCGGTACGGTAAGAATGCTAGGCAGGCCTAGCCTTACCTCGATTTAGGTTCTGTTATCACATGAAAACGGCCGACATGATATTTTCCGTTGCTAGTATTGACACTTGTGAAATATAATATTTCATAGGAATTATTTCAAATTTGTTAAAAAACTGATTCTGACCGAGATTTTGACACTTAAACAAACATATCTCAGGCCTACTCGAACGACCGCATTGTGCGAGATGCGAAGTACAAAAACTAATCTCATTAGAGAGGGCGCACTTTATTGACTGTATAAAGTATACATCATGTATACATAAAAAGCGAGAGTATTCAAGCGGATGCGATCTACAACCTCCGAATTTGCCTAGTAACGAAGAATTCGTCGAGAAAATGGTAATATTCTACGAGAAATAGTCTGTATTTCTCATTTTTTAAATTCTTTTGCGTAGAACTAAAATTTATGCCAATATTTTTCCATGATTCATAATAATTGGAGTAATGCATATGCATCTTTTCTAAAAAGAAATCTGTTTTTAGTGAAATTTTGCTGGGAATGCCAGGAATCTCAATCAAAACAATCTTCCATAATTAAGGCATCATTCAAACAGTCATAAGGAGATTATAAAAAGTGCGTCTTGAGTAGTTACTTAACTGTCCCAATATAAGGTGTTTAATGTTCAAAGGAAATTATTCCAGAGCTTTGGTCCGGCAGCGTTGAGCGCTATAAGGGGCGGGTGGGCAGTGCTTATGGTACGGTCAGGGAAAACAAATTGTCCTCACCATGACGATTTAACTGAAAATGTGGTTAAACAGGTAATTTAACTATTGTCCGTTGCCATTTAAATAATATAAATAAGCCAAAACCAAAATAATTACTAATATACCTAGAACCGGTGAAAATATATACACAAGTGTTTTCTTGATGTCGATGCTTTTTGCGTTCCATATCCGGCGGCTGAATCTCGTCGCGGACCTTTCCGTTCGCCACTACAGATTTCCTCCACCAAAATGATATGACATCACGCACCTTACAGTCGATGTGTCTTCGGTTGGTAAAATTCGAACATTCTCAACGGAATTAGAACTATTTATAAATCTCCGGGTTCATCATCATCATCAACCTCCACTGTCCTCTCTGTCTTCCAGATTATTTCCTCAATATTTTTGTGGATGGGTAGCCTTCTCTGCAGTGGCTCTCCTTTATCGAAAACCGGTCGGGCGTGACAACCGAAGATACTCGACTCTGCTATTACGTGCGCCGGATGGAATCTTGAGGTAGCAAAAAAAGGCAAGTATAAAAATAGGCTGCTCCTGTAAAAGTAGCCTAGATTTTGCATGTTTGCTTAACCATTTCTACATGTTCTTCTTACACTGATAGCCATAATGCTAGCACCTCCCTGGTTTTATTGAAATAGGGATCCAGTCACAAGTGCGATCCATATGTTAAATCACAGTTGGCCTAGGCTAGGTAGTAGGGCCTGCTTAATAGATAGTAGTAGGGAGTTTTCTATGCACGACTTCAACCTTAAAGCCCCATTCCCGGCAAAATTTCAATTTTTAAGAAAAATCTAATTTTTGTATGTAACATGGTGATTCACGTACAATTGTAAATTTATTTTCGAAGGCGATAATTGCCTTCCATACTACATCGTCTTTCTTTTTATCTTTCTCCTTTACGCGGTTCAGTAAAACTAAATTACCAAAGCTAGCTATTAAAGTTATAAAACTATCAAGATTATAAAATATTTAGGAAATTTGCACTTTGAAGGTATGTTGATTGTTTTTAGAATTAATTTATTATTGTTCGAAAGCTAGATTATATGCACTAGCTAAATATTAAATGAAGAAATTTGGTGAAAGCCTTAGGCTGCCTCGCCATGTTCATGCAGAACGTAGCGTACATACGTACGCACGGATAAATGCAAATCAGCTAGGCAGAGTCTCATCGTATACTAGGGTATTGACTAGAGTTCGGAGCTGATTGTTGGCTTAATTAGTTAATGTTTATCGTCTTAATTACAGTTTGGATTATTGTAGTTTGTATGCCTACATCTGCTATAGAAAATACTACATTATTATGTGCTGTAAATACAATTATTTGTTCGTAGGCCTAAGATACTTTCCATTTTATTCCATCACGGTCATGCACGAGATGCGTGATTGGTTACTAGGGGAGCTAGTTTATAATTATAGAGGGCGCTACTCCACAGCATATTAACAGCTATTGTTTACCGTTGCACACTGCGTATTATCTACATAGTCCAGTTATTAATTGAGAAGTAGTTAAGATAGTGAAAGTATATTCAGTATTATTGCTGAGTACTGTGATATAATGGCTTTAACTAAATCTTAGTTGATGTATTAACATTTACGGTCATAAAGTCAGGGTGATTATAATAAATGAAGATAAGTAATTAAAATATTGAAGTTGTAGTACTGGTAGTACTGCATACTGTAGGTTGTTATTACTATAACTCTTTACTGAAATTGTTATTGTGTTATTGTTAATGACTATAAGAGAATTGTTGTTCTTATTCTAAGATGATGATTGATAGGTAAATAATTATTACATGGTAAATATTACATAACCAGTGTTAACTATCTACATGATTGTTACAGTGTAGTACAGGTAGCTTATTTTCTTCTATTTAGTGCCATCACTGGGAAGAGTGATCGTACTGTTTGGTTATTGTGAACGTATTGCTGCAAAGCCGGGGTAAGCGATGGTTTAAATGTCGTTTCACAAAATCTTGTTATTAATATTGTGGTTGTATATTAATGTGATGGAAGTCTGCTACCTTGTATAATTGATGTAAAGTGGAGGTTTCCATGTATAGTAATGATACTATAAAATATATAATATGTAATATGATCTCAACATTTCGTTAAGGTTAAAAGTGTGGAAAATGTTAATCAACGGCTTGTGACTCCCTGTCCACCGTTAATGAACTGGCATCTCTCCGATGACATACTTAATATACCATTTGCGAACTACATAAGAT